ACTTCTACGACATACCAGGCTTAGCGCGAGGCTGGGGATACAGGAAGAGCTCAGCCTGAGGGCAGGGTCAGACAGAGAAGCAGATAACTACAGAGTCCTGTACAAGGCACTGAGTCAATTCCGGCAGGGTGGTGACTCTGGGCCGGCCTGATATCATTTAGAAACCTGGCATCGCCACTTGTCAGCTTGTGACTTTGAGGAAGCTGCTCAACTCTCTGAGCCTCAGCTTCCTCACCTCCAAAATGGGTAATAATATCAACCTTGTAAAATTTTTGACAAATTAGAGATGATATAATACCAAGGTCTAACCCCAGCTTGTCAAGGATATTATTGGTGTCTACACTCAATGCCTCGAGAATACGCAGGGGAGTAGAGCATGTGGGATGGGGGCAGAAGGTGGCCTTCAAGAAAGCAGCAAAGAAGAAGTGGCAATTGAGCTGGATCATTAGGAATGAGACCTCAGGCTCACCGGTGGGGAGGGCATGCATGAACACAGGCGCAGAGCACCCATGCGCACCCCGAAGGGGTGCGGGGAGGCAGGGGATGGGGGAAGGGCTAGAGTTTGCCTCCACCCTGCATGCAAGTTTTCAGGAAGATGGAAGATTTGTTTCCTGTCCTGACACCAAGCAACATTGAATCATGTGATGAGAAAGTTATTCTCTTTTCCATTCTCTTTCAAGACTTTGACTCCATCAAGGGGAAAGTCTCAACTTTTTTTTTTTTTGGCAGCAGGCCAGGGATCCAAACCCTTGACCTTGCTGTTATAAGTTTCCATTCTCTTTCAAGACTTTGACTCCATCAAGGGGAAAGTCTCAACTTTTTTTTTTTTTTTGGCAGCAGGCCAGGGATCCAAACCCTTGACCTTGCTGTTATAAGACGGGGCTTTAACAAACTGGGCTAACCAGCTGGCCCAGTCTCAACTTTTAATACCTAATAGTTGTGAATCTCACTCACCTCAAAGTGACTGCTTTCCAAAGGCAATTATCACCACCAAGAAATTTGTAACCTTGTCTTTGTTTTTATGATCTATTCAGCGCGAGTGAGTCTGGCTTTCCACTTACAGGGGTGATAGAAATTTTCCTTTTAAAATATATTTTAAAGTCAGCCATTCAAAGGAAAATACAAAAAAAAAAAAAAAGGGTACAGGGGACTGGCCAGTTAGCTCAGTTGGTTAGAGTACAGCCTTGTAACACCAAGGTCAAGAGTTCGGTTCCCCTTACAGCCAGCCACCAAAAACAAAAACAAACACATCTCTCAATCATTTAAAAAAAAAAATGGATGCGAAATCGGCAAAAATCAAAAAGACTGAACTCAAATGACTGATATTTAGGAAACACTGCTGTGTACACTAGGAAGTTACCCAAATTCTGAGCCAAGGAGGGCCTTGGAGAGATAACTACAACTGAGGGGAGAGACCTGGTATGGGGAGTCAGCAGAGCCCTGAGCCAGTCCAGGTGGAGAATGAGGCAGATCTGCCCTGGGCAGGTGGGCTTCGGGACAAGGACCTGGGGGGAGATGTCCTAAAGATGGACAGGATGGGGTTTGTGAGCTGGTGTGTGGTAGCAGAGGGAGAAGCAGCCTTTGCATCTGTCCTATGGGCTGCAGTTGGGTCTACGTGAGCATCTGTCACTCAAATTCCCACATATCTATTGTCTCCCATCAGACCAGGAGTTTCTTGGGAGCAATATTCCCATCTTCTATCTCTTTTCAACTGCCCAGAGCTCACAGGGTGATCCAGCTTTGTGGCTCACCAGCTGACAAGTCAGGATCTCAGACTACGGTGACCAACCACCCCTGTTTGGCTGGGATGAGGGGTTTCCCAGGATCTGAGATTTTTCAGTACAAAAATAGGGCAGTCCTGGGCAAACTGGGAGGAGTCGGACACCCTATCTCAGACTATCCTTGCAGGGCAGGAACCCTGGGGCAGAACCTGTTGGGCCGTAGTTGCTGGCCTCTGGGGCTGAAGCGAGAATCCCACACAGTCTACAGGGGCCCAGGACCAGGTCCTCAGTTCACGTTTATGTGAACAGTGCCACCCATCTCAGAGCCAGCTCCCAACTTTCTTGAAAAGGCTCAGAGACCTTAGTCCTTTTCAAGAAAATATGTTTCACCTTGGTTAGAAGCCTCCTGGCCACACCCCAAAATCTAGCTTCAATTCAAGTTTGAGAATTCAAAGGCCCCAAAGATTCCACTTTCAGAATTGGCAAGTGTTATCAAAGGAAAGTCTTAGGTCTTGACATTCGGGGTCCTACAAGAACTGTTTCTACCCTATCCCTCCAGCTGTAAATTCCCTAAATCTCAGAAGGCCTCCTTATGTTCCAGCCAACATGGCCTGCTTGGCAGCGCCATACCTGTCCTTCCTCCTTCCCCCCTCTGTCCCCTCTTCCCTCTGTTCCATCTGCCTGGAGAACTCCCTGCACACATCTTCCTGGGCTTCAATTCCCCGCAAATTTCAAAGCTTGGCTCAAACATAACCTCGCCAAGTCCTCCAGGTGGAAGATGCTCCTGATTCCTCCAATCCCCTTCCAAAGCCTGCCTTCACCTGTGGTGGCCATCAGGCCTTCCACCGTGGACTGAACTAGACTGGAAACCACTGGAAGGCAGGGTTCACATCAGATTCATTCTTGGCCCTCCTCCTTTTTCCCCTGCTGTCAGAAGTCAGCATATAGAATTAACACACAAAAGACCAACCGGTAATGTCTAATCGGCAGAAGTTCCAACTGTCTCTTGACCTGTCACCTGGGGACAGCAAGGAGAGCCTTCATACAGGCTCATTCATTCTTCAGTCATTCATTCATCCATTTAGCCAACATCACCGAGCCTTTCGTGTGGCAACAAGGTTAACAAGACATTTGTGTCCTGTGCCCTCACAGTCCCGTGGAAAGGACAATTCCATAATGGCCACTGTGCAGCACAGGGACAGAGAAGGGAAGGAGAAGGCACTCTGTCTGTCATGGAGGTCCTGGCCCAACCAGGATCAGGAATGCTTCCCAGAGTACAGAACACTGGAATCCGTGGAAAGGACAATTCCATAATGGCCACTGTGCAGCACAGGGACAGAGAAGGGAAGGAGAGGCACTCTGTCTGTCATGGAGGTCCTGGCCCAACCAGGATCAGGAATGCTTCCCAGAGTACAGAACACTGGAAAGGAGACCCAGGATGAAGTGATGTGTTCCTGCCACATTTCCAAAGAGAAACAAGGGGCTTGGGAGTCAAAGGCACCCACTCCATCTCTGCTCCTTCACTCCCAGGCATGTGATCACTGGCCTGTTTCTGCATTGCCACAACTGGTTAACACAGTCACCCTCCCGGGGTTCTTGTGAAGATTTGTGGGGATAATGGATGGAAGGCAATCAGCACACAGTCAAGCTCTCCCCAAACATGGGGATTACTGTTGTCATTATCACCCAAGCAGCTCACAGGAGGCCAGAGGACACCAGACAGCTGAGCTGGACAATAATCCTGCCTCACGATTAGCCTCGACCTGAAAGGGACAAGCAGGATTGCTGCTGGGCCTTCCCGGCTGCCAGGAGGACAGGTCCAGGGGTCACATCACAGGATTCTGAAGGAGCAGATTCCAGGAGGCCAGCAGCCCAGGGGTGTGAGGAGGAAGGAAGCTGGCTGTAGGGGAGAGGAAGGCAGCCACCGTGGGCGTTGCTGAGGACAGGCCTGGGCAGAGGAGTGAGATAAAGAACAGACAAAGCTTGAGATAACATCTCTCCCCATTGCCCTCCCTCTCAAGCTGCTCCCGAGAATGAGTCAAATTATTTCCAGTGATGGATGCAGCAAGGCTCTGACATTTACAGGCCACTAGAGCTCTTCAGGGCCAGCTGGGTGTAGGCCACCCCATTAGGGGAAGGAGCCAACCACAGAGCGGAAATCCCCGAGGTGTGCAAATACCCATGTCGTCACTTCTCAGAAGGAAGGAGCTGGGGTGGAGCAAGCTGAGATTAAAGCCCTGGCCCTAGTGCGCAGCACCCAGGGGAACCCACACAGCAGTCTGGGAGGATCAAGGACCACCTGGGATGCCTGGGAGCACAGGTGCTCTCTGGTCACACAGCCTTTCTGCTATTCTTCAACATACCCAGCTTGTTTGCCACTCTGGGCCCTTACAGTTCCCAGATACTCGTATTCCTACCACACATTCAGGGCTCATTTACAGTGTCACCTCCTCCTAGAGGCCTCCCTTGACCACCTAATCTAAAGGAACCCACTCCCTCACATCTACTGTGTGCTTCCCCAGATACCCACATGGCTCAAGCCCTCATCTCTTCAGGCCTGTGCTTCCTTGCTCAGATGTCACCTCCTTCACAAAACCTTCCTTGACCACCCAATTTAAAATCACACACCCTCCCCCCAGCTCTCATCTCTCCTCCCTGCTTTCTTATCTAACATCCTAGATATTTAATTGTTTATTGTCTTCTCCTGCTGAATGTCAGCTCCAAGAGGACAGGGATTATTGTCAGTTTCATTTACTTCTAGAAAATCTAGATGCTAGCACCTAGAAAAGTGCCTGGCACATAGTAGGGGCTCAATAAATGTTTGACAAGTGAATAAATACATATATATGAATGTTTAGGAGCAAGGGCTCTGGCCAGACTGCCCAGATCTCATCCCAACTCTTCCACTTACTGTGTGACCTTGAACCATTTACTTAACCTCTCTGTGCCTCAATTTAACTAATCCGTAAAAGGAGAATGACAGTAGTACCTACCTCATAGGATTATTGGGGATTAAATAAAATCATGCATATAAAGAACTTAACACAACACTCGGCCCCCAGGAAGCAACTCAGTTCCATGTTGGCTGCCATCACAGCCTTTGCTTGCCAGCATTTCTTGCTTATTTATTGCTCAGTTGCTTATCATCTGTCTCCCTTTACTCCAGCGTCAGCTCCAGCCTGCCTTGCTCACTACTGTATCCCCAGTTCCTATCATAGTGTTGGAAGGGAAAATCAGGCTTCCTTTCAAGTCAAGGAATGCTGAGCTGGGGAGCCTCACCAATCTGTTTCTCCAGGGCGGCTGCCTCACAGACCGTGGCCCGGGGCAGGATCCCGGGATCGGTGAAACTCGTCTGCAGCAGGCAGCTCATGACGAAGAAGAAGAGGATGGCAGCGATGATGGGAATGGCAAGGGTCAGTTTGCGGGCCAGGTAGGGACAGCTAGAAGGAGAGATGGAGAGAGAGAGATCAGCAGATACCCCAAGGGCTCCCTGGGGCACAGGGCTACAGAACTAGGGAGGTGATGACCCCAGCAAACACCATCACATTCTTTTTTTTTCTTCACCATCACAATCTTGAATAGAGACTCTCCCTAAAACAGAGGTACAGCTCTTCGGTGAGTGCAGCCACTCCACCTGTAAGTGTCTGGAACAGACATCACTAACTGATCCTTGCACTTTCCCCCTAAGCCCATGGCAGGTGTGATCAATAGATCCCAGTGCTCTTAACCTCCACACTTAGCTGCAGCCTCAGAATCCTTCTAAACCCAGAGCTTCAGGCAGGCACTGCCAATTAAGTGGACTGTTACTTGAGATGAACCATCCAGGAAATATTCATTCATTCACTCACTTAGTTACTCACTCCACAAATATTTACTGAGGTCTTCTTTGTGCCAGGCAACACCTTCAACAAACAGAGGGGATAATGGCAGTGAATAAGCTAGAGTCCCTCTTCCATGTGGTATTTGGTCTAAAACAGACGTGTAAATAGGGAATTGCCACACAGGGTGAGGCATGCTGTACTGGGGGAGGAGACAGCAGTGGAGCAGTCAGAAAAGGCTCCCTGAAGGAAATAATGCCTAAGCTGAAACCTGCAGAATGAGCAGAGGGTTGGGAGAAAGGAAACAGCATGGTCCAGCCACTGCCACTGTCATCCAAGGGATGGTATCCCCAGGGCAGTTCTGTCAGGCCCCCTCACCCTAATTGGCTCAGAGAACAGCCTGTGCCGCCTCTTCCACCAGGCAGGCTGCCTACCGCAGGGTTCCACATCCCTCTTTAAGCTTCCTCCTCCATCTTAGGACTGGAACATTCCAGAAGTCCTGGACACTGGTAGCGGCATGACTTCTTAAGAGAGTGAAACTATCAGGGTTCTCTATAGCCAGTCTTCTCTGTTGTCACTCCACTGTCCACCCAGAAGTCAGAGCCATCTTTTGGAAATGTAAATCAGATCATGTTATTTCCCTGCTTAAAACCTTCCAATGGCTTCCCATTATATTTTGAATTAAATCCAAACTCCCTATCACAGCCTTCTTTTTTTTTTTTAAAGATGACTGGTGTTTAAAACTCTTGACTTGGTGTTGTCAGCACCACGCTCTCCCAAGTGAGCCACGGGCAGGCCCTTCTACCACAGCCTTCTATGCCAGGCATGATCTGGACTCTGCTAAAGTCTTCTCCAGCCTCATTCTACAAAACTTTCCCCTTGTCCCCTCACAGTGGCCTCATGACAGTTCCAATAACAAGAGCTGTTCTTTCCTACCTCAGGGCCTTTTTTTTCAGGTTCTGATCAATATGCTGCACCTCAGGGCCTTTGCACTTGTGGTTCCTTTTCTCTGGAATGTTCTTCCCTCCTCAGAAGGACCATCCTTGACAACCCTGAACAAAGCAGGCCTCCCCAATACTCTTTATTTCCAGCATAGCGTTTATTATAAATTTTATTTTATTTTATTTTTTTAAAGATGACTGATAAGGGGATCTTAACCCTTGACTTGGTGTTGTCAGCACCACGCTCAGCCAGTGAGCAAACCGGCCATCCCTATATAGGATCCAAACCCATGGCCTTGGTGTTATCAGCACCACAGTCTCCCAAGTGAGCCACGGGCTGGCACTTATTATAAATTTTAATTACTTGTCTGTTTACATGTTGACTGTCTCTACCCTATTAGAACATAAGCTCCTCTGAGGAAACAGACTATGCTCTCTTGTTCACCCTAATATTCCCAGCACACCACACTGAACCTGGCCCCAAGAAGGTGAATAACTGTTGAATGAATGAATAGTTCTCCCATCCAGTACCAGGGGACTGAAAAATAGCCACCATCTTTTGAAGGCTTACTATGTGCCAGACACTACTCTAATTAAAAAATTATTAATAATAATATCTGAGGTACAGATAGTTACTATGTGCCAGGTACTATGCTAAGCACTAGCATCAAATCTTCATCATGACCCTCTGAAGTTATGCTCCTCACTTTACAGATGAGGAAACTAAAGCTTAGAGAGCATAAGTAAGCTGCCCAAGGTCATGCGGCTCAAGAGTGCTAAAGTGGGACTCAAGCTGGGCCTGACTTTGAAGCCCATACTTTTAACCACCGTCCTGTGCTGCTTCCCAGCCCAGAGCCAGAGTGGCACCTGATGACCAGCTGCTGGGAGACCTGAGATCAGCCAAGGTTCCAGGAGTTGGCACAGTAGCAGGAAGCAAACCTATGGGCATCTACACACTGTCTCTGAAGCCTGCCTCGTCAATGTTCTGGGCCCCCAAAAGCCCCTTCCCCTGGACTCCAAGGTCTAGGGCTCCAAGTGGGCCACGCTTTTCTCCACACATCTCACTGCTCCCTGGGTCCAAACAGAACCTTCAGTGTCATCCACACAGCAACTCATCCGGTTCATGTCCAACCTGACTTCTTTGGGGAAGGCTTGAAATCTGAGACCTCAGGAGCCACTAAGTCCTAGCCTCCTGATTTTCTAGATGGGCACTCCTAGACCCATACCTAGATTCAAGGTCACCCAGCCAGCCAATGACAGGACTGGGGTCTCTGGGCTCCCAGCAAATGCTTAGTCCATTCATTCATTCATTCAACAAATATTTACTGAATTGAGCACTTATCACACACCAGGCACTGATTCTAGGCACTAAGGATATGATGGCGAGGAGAACAATACCTTCCTCTCATGGACAAAGACAGACAAGAAACAAACAAATATACATATAATACATCAGATGGTGGCAAGTGCTTCGCAGAGCAATAAGTGTAGAGAGATGGGATGGAGGGGAGAGGTTTGCTATGTTATACGGATGGACAGGGAAGGGCTGAGGAAAGTGAGAGAGTGCACCATGAGGGTCCCTAAAGGAAAGGTATTTCAAACAGTGCAAAGGCCCTGGGGTAGGACTGTGCAAGGAGCCAAGGCAGATTCCAATCTGACTTAGAATTAAAGGGGCACTCCAGCTGCTATGGGGGGGTAGGAAGTAGGGCAGAAGCTGGGAGCCCTGCTAGGAGGCCTGTGTGACAATCCACCTCACCAAACAATGAAGCAAAACCATTCACAACAGGAAATGCCCCAGAGAACCACCATTCACTTTTCCCAGAGCAGTGAGGGGATGTGAATGCCTCCCACCCTCTCTGCCCTCACTAACAGCGTTTCCATGATGCCAAGTCCCTACCAAGGTTTTACCCCAGTCCAGACCCAGGTTAGCCCTCAACCCAAACCCAAACCCAAAGCCCTCCTGCTAAATCCATCATCCCAAGTGAGGATGAGCAGAGACAAAAGGCAGATGATTCACAAGCTCTCCCCAAACCCATAAGTCCTTGCTTCCTCCCTCTCTGAGGACAAATCAGTCACCAGTGAAAACACACACTGAGCCCAGAGAAGTCCTGATTCTGAACTGACCTAATCTTCACACTGCAGGGTCACAGGGGCCAACCACAGCAAGCACCGCTTCCTCCTGTCTCGGGGGCAGCCCTGGCAGCCCAGAGGATACTAGAAAAGGCCCTTCCCAAACACCCACACGATGGATCTGAAACTCAGTCCAGGAGCCATGCTGTGTGCTGGGCCCCCCCAGGAGCTTCTGCCTGTAAATCATCCCTGAACTTTTTATCCATCCTGACTCAGAGAGGAAGGGTAGAGTCTTTGGTGGAAAGGTGAAAAGGAGAAGCTAATTTATAGGAAGTCTTCACCTTGCTTCACGGGGAAACCCAAGGTTGCAGATACATGATCTGGCAGCTGAAAAGTGTACCTGCGGGCTGGTGTCTTTATGACAGCCTTGCCATGGCCACATGCCCTTGGGAAGTGTTTTTTGGTGAAGACAACAAATACTAACAGCAGCCAACATTAAGTGCTTGTTACTGGGCTAAAAGTGTGCATGGTGACCTCATGTCACCCTCAGGACAACCTTAGAGGGAGGGTCCTATTATAAACCACATTTTACAGAGGAAACTGAGGTTCTGAGAGGTGAAGTGACTGTCCCGAGATCACACAATTAGTGCCTGGTGGAGCTGGGATATGAACCAAGTCTGTTGGTTCCAGAAACAAGAGTTCTTGGGCCGGCCCGTGGCTCACTTGGGAGAGTGTGGTGCTGATAACACCAAGTCAAGGGTTTGGATCCCATATAGGGATGGCCAGTTGGCTCACTTGGGAGAGCGTGGTGCTGACAACACCAAGTCCAGGGTTAAGATCCCCTTACCGGTCATCTTTTTAAAAAAAAAAAAAAAGTTATTAACCACACTGTATTATGAAGGAAGGTGACCACAAATAATGGGGAGAACTAGTACTAGGAGGGGAAGATGGGGCTCATAAAGCAGGGGGTGGGTGTGCGCAGGTGGCTCAAGCTAGAGACCCAGGGCAGGGTAGATGGAAAACTTCCCAAACTAATATGTGACCCTGGTAAAGTGATAAGCATCCACTTCTCCATGGATAAAATGGAGACACTATGTGGGCCAATCCTGGGGATATGCAGAGGTCAAACATCACGGGGGCAAATATGACCTTTCACACAAAAGCATTCTGGACTCTTTCTTGAAAAATAACAAGGACTGGGGGAAAAAAGAAAGAATTTTTAAAAAATAATAAAAAATAACAACAACAACAACAAAAACTCCAACAAGGACTGCAGCTGTTCCTGATGTGGAACAGGCCAGAGAGACTCTCCAGAATGTTAAGGGAAAGAAAGCCAGGAGGTCAGAAGGGGGGATGAGGGGACTGAGGGAAGGACAGGAAGCTCTGGAGAAACTAAGGAAGATGCTAGGGAAGGAAGGAGAGGCCTGAGAGGCCCAAAGATGTCTGAGGGAAGATGTCTTGGGTCCTGGGGTGAGCATGACTGAGGGGAAAGCAAGGGGTGGGGGTGCGGGGTGGCTGAAAGTCATCTCCCTGACGAGAGGACCCTCAAAGGAGCTGCGATGACGACTAGGGAATTTATGGTGCAGCGTACACAGCCAAAGGACCCAAGAAATTGAGAAGTTGTCCGAAAGGGATATAAAGGAAAGATGCCCTGGGGGGTCAGAAAGAATTGGCGGGTGAGCAGGAGACGGTCCAGGGACAGATGGGCAGGAGGGATCTATCCAAGGAGCCAGGAGGCCTGGGGGACAGGTTCTGCGAGGCAGAGAGAATGGGGGTGTGGAGGGGCACGGGAGGGTGCTGCTCCTGGTAGAGGCAGCCAAAGGCAGGGTGCCAGGGCATGGGACGAAGGGCTGCCAGGGCGGGGCCAGAGAGGATGAGGAGCCCGGGAGGGGACCAGGGAGGCAGACGAGATGTGCAAGGAGCCTGGAGAGGCCTGAGGGCAGATCCGAGAGGGTGCCCATCGGGCTGGGAAGGTCGGTGCGCGGCGGCGGCTGGGGGCGAACTCACTCACTCGAAGACGAAGAAGAGGACGGTGGTGGTGAGGATGAGCAGCAGCGTGAGCGCGAAGACGCCGCCGTGGCCGGCCAGCATGAGGCGTCCGCCGCAGAAGAAGCGGTTGCGGCCCGGGAACACCTCCCACTTGCGCCGCGGGCGGCGGCCGAGGCTCCCGCTGCCGCTGCCGCTCCAGCGCGGCGGGG